GGGGGGCACAGCCCCTTGGGGAAGTGGGGGGGTTGGTATGGGGGGGCAGAGCCCCTGGAGGGGAGGGGGACACAGGGCCCCTGGGGGAAGTGGGGCCTGGTATGGGGGTGAACAGAACCCCTAGGGAGGGGGGCTGGTATAGGGGCACAGCCCCTCGGGGGAGTAGGGGGGGCTGGTATGGGGCACAGAGTCCCTGAGGAGAGTGGGGGCGATAGTAAGGGGGACACAAAGCCCCTGTGTCGAGGGGGGCTGGTATGGGGGTCTGTGCAGCGCCTGGCACGACGGGCTGGGGGTCCGTATGGCGAGGGGTGACGGCCGGCCGGGGGGCTGCAGGAAGTGGGGGGCACAGGAAGGAGGCGGGAACTGCTCGGCGGAGGGGGGGCACGGGAGGGGGGGGCGCAATTAAGAGACGAGGGGGTCTCCCCGAGACAGGTGGAACCGACAGATTTTTATTCTAACCCTGGATATAAAACGTCTGGCGCGAGCTCCGGCCCGGCCTGAACCCCCACGGCCATGGGGGAGCCCCGGACCCCTAGACTGGGGGGCAGAACAGGGACCCTCTACCACAGCCCCCTGCCCGCTGCCCCCGTGTGCCCCACCATCGGGGGGGTCACTGTCTGGGCTCAGGGTCCCCCAGCCACCTCCCTCCCTGGGCCGGTCCTACCGTGGGAAAGGGGGGCCGGGGTACCCCAAAAATCGGGGCAGGGGAACAGGCTGAAGTCTGGATCCCCGCTGGTGGGGGGGCCACTCAATCCAGGCTCGGAAGAGCCCCCCCAACGGGGCAGAAGAGACCAATCAGACCCAAAGAGGGAAGGAGCACTGGGGGGCTGGGGGTAGGGCTACCAGGACACAGCAGCCAATCGGTGGAGGTGCCAGGCAAGCCCCTCCCCTGTGCAGGTCCATGGGGGGGTGCAGTCACGGGGTGGGGGGGGCGGCGGTCCATGCTGCCCCCCCCGGCTCCATGGGGCTCAGAGAAGCAGCTTCCCGTTGCGATGGATCTTGAGGATGCGGCCGAGCCGCTGCTTAGCCGTGGCCAGGCCCTTCTTGGGGCGCTTTCCTGGGGGGCAGAGCGGAGGGTTAGGGGGGCTGGGCGGATCCCTCCCCCACCCACAGGAGATACCAACAGCCCCACCATGGAACCCAGGCGTCCTGGCTCCCATCCCCCCCTGCTCTAACCACCAGCCCCCACTCCCATTCCAGAGCCGGGGAGAGAACCCAGGCGTCCTGGCTCCCAGCCCTCCTGCTCTAACCCACCAGCCCCCACTCCCCTCCCAGAGCCGGGGAG